CTATCTGTTTGTGTGACTGATCTATCTGTCCGTCTGTCTGTCTGCGTATATGCATGCCTGCAGTGCTAGTCCTAGCTGTTGCATCTTGTGTGTATGACTGCCCGCGTGCCATTGTAGGAATCTGTATGGTGCCATTTACAAGACCCAGTTTCGTGTTGTCATGATCTTTAGCTGGCAACAAACCAGATCCAGTAGGTAGATCAACGTTGTTCACAGACTTAACGCTGCTTTCAGCTAAAAGTCTAATTAATTCCAGAGGCAGTCGGCATTATGTTCTGACACTATTGCTTCAAAACTAACTTGTTGGCCTAGGAAACGGTGAACTACTTACTTATTAAAGCTGACATGGAAACCAGCAGTTGCAACGAGGAACTAGTTGTTGAAGCTGAAATGGAAACCAGCAGTTGAAATTGGAAACTCGTTATTGAATCTGAATCACGTGTACCCACGCACACACATACAGATAAAAATAGACGTCCTATTTTTCCATGCGCGGGACGACTCCTGCTTTTGATTTTAAAGCCCTTAATGAAAAAAAAAAATATTCTAATCACATTCAGTATACAAAACAACCCCCAAATAAAATTTCGGGGGGGGGGGGGGGGGGGATTGCCGTATGTGCTAAAAATAGCTATATAAAATACATTTCTGAAGTATGTAAAGGACTTGTACCTACGCCATGAGGCATATTGGGCATATCTGTTATAATGGTAGCTGCACATTTTTATAGACCACTTGGCACTCAGTGGGTGATGTGGTAAAAATGAGTCTAGTAGTCTTTACTTCCTAGTACTCGAATTCCCGGTACCCATTTTAATCCTTTGCTGGGGAGTCTTCATCATAACAACAGTGTGACCTAAATGGGATTTGAACTTGCAGTCATAGGGCGGATAAGCAGGCATGGTAACCATGATGCTACTACAGTTCCTAATGTTGTGGTTGCTTGCTTGTTGTATTGCTGTACATTCAGTTTCTTGACCAAAATCAGACATTGTTTAGCAGTTCCTAATGTTGTGGTTGCTTGCTTGTTGTATTGCTGTACATTCAGTTTCTTGACCAAAATCAGACATTGTTTAGCAGTCTACTCGCTGTATGGGTTTTAGGAACCCATTGGTGGGGGGGGGGGGGGGGGTGACCAACTGCCTCCAACAAACATGTCCTAAGAGTAACTAATTAGGGATTTCTTTCACAGTCAAAGTGCATCTGCCTGGCAGGCAAAGAACCAACAGGCTGCATACAGATTAGCCAGATCTGTAAAACAGATGTGCCCACATAACTCAAGTTCTGGAGCATAACTAATGTCTAGAAGAGGATGAACAGCCAGAACTTTCTGCCACAGTGTACATCTGGTGACCGTGAAGAAATAGCATTTTAACAGTTTGTCACCTTTTCCTGACGTCATCTACTTTTGTCTTTGTGTCATTCCAGGATGTGTTCATCTTATCTGTTCAAACTGTCAGGAATCCAGCTGTGTATATGTTAAAGATTAATGCCTCCGTCATTGTCTTGTAGCAAGCTTCAGTTCAAGCAGTAATGGATGAGCTATCATCTCCTAACCGCTTGATTGTCTTGTAGCAAGCTTTAGTTCAGGCAATAATGGATGAGCTATCACCTAGTAATCGCTAAATTGTGTGGAGTCATTGACATGAGCTCTTGGGATGATTATAGTGAGTTTATAAAAGCCTCAGGACTTCAGATCTGTGGCATCTGTTTTTTTTTTAAAGGTGAAGTCTTGGCACAAGCCCCAGAAATAAAAGTCACCAAAGAGAAATGGCAGCAGTAGTCTCGGGGAATCAACTCACAGAATTTCCTCGATAGGGTCCACATTGGTGGCATTAGATCATATATTCAAGTTAAATTTCTGAATGATTTTTATCAAGGCAGTGTCACTTGCCAACAGTAGCAATGAGTTACTGTTATTGTATTGTTCGTCTGTCAAAAGTAATGAAGACCTCTTTGCACCAAAACTTAAAAAAGATCAATGATTGTTAGTACGAAGATGACTGTGAGACCTGTTCGAGCATGGAAAGTTCTTGAGCATCATGGACAACAGATGCTAGCGATAGTTGAGGTAGGATTTGCCACACCTATCCCTTCGGGTCTGCTTCTGTTCTCTTCCAGGACAACCTCCCCTGTCTAGCAGGCTGATGCACCATGTTTGAGAACCAGTCCTCAAACATGGTACTGTTGTTATCGATTTATGTAACCAAGAAACCAGATGCTTGTATTTCAACACAAGCAGAAGCAAGGTTTATTCTAATCTATTCCCTGCAGACATATTCACTCATAAATAATGGTATGCTCATTGGTTCTGTTGAGGTGTGGGAATATTTTTGTAATATCTTGGAATGATGTAGTTTCTAGAAATGTCTGGCTGAAAGAAATTTACTGTGTTTTTCTCAGAATGAGCTACTGTTTCAGTTAGTTGCATAAACAGACAAAAATGTCACTATAATTCTCAGAATGGGGTTGTGTTTTTGTTAGTTTGTCTGAGTGAATGAAGTAGCTACTGTTTCTCTGAGTGAAAGAATGTTAACTGTAATTCTCAGAATGGGGTACTGTTTCAGTTAGTTGTCTAAGTGAAAGAATGTTAACTGTAATTCTCAGAATGGGGTACTATTTTTAAATTAGTTGTCTGAGCGGGGAAAAAATGTCATTGTTATTCTCAGAACAAGCTTCTGTTTCTTTTTGTTGTCTAAATGAAAGAATGATAACTAATTTTCAGAACAAACTACTATTTCTCTTATTGGAGTGAAAGAATGTTACTATTTTGTGTGTGTGATCTTTTCAAATTGATATAGTATCTTGTCGGAGTGAACGAATGTTAATGTGAATTCAAAACTGATAGTTTCCATAATTGTCCGATTGAAAAAAGTTAATATAATTTTTGTTCTGACAGATTATTACTGTAATCTGCAAATTGTTAAGATGTTTCTGGAATTCTGAAATTGAACGAGTCTGACTGTTGTCAGAGAAATATTATAGTGATTGTCAAGCTGTTAAATTGTTAGAGAATATCTCAGTTCGGGGAAATGTTAGCATATTATTTAGATTGTTATGTTCACGTTGTTGCGAGTCCGACTCGTAATCCAACGTACCGCGATCGAAACCCACTGCGAGCTGCGTGGATTTTTATCGTGGTATGGGACGTCGCAGGTCGACCCAGCCTCAAATGGGTACCAAGATGGCTGTCCCGGGGAAGTAAAGACGGCCGGCGTAATGCTGACCACATTAATCACCGAGTGCCAATGGGTCTGTAAAAAATATGGGATGCTCTGCCCATATGCCCGATGCGCTGAATGGCGTGAAAAGGGATCTTTACTTTTTACTTTTATGTTCACGTTGACACAGTGAATTGTATATTGTTCTTCTTCTGCCTTTGCTTTACTAAGGATCGAATCTGGGTCTCGTGCATGAGAGCCCAGCACTCTAATTAATCAGACAGCCTCTGCGCTAGTTTGCAGTGATTTCTTCTTCGCATTCACCAGCTGTAAACTGTGGCAGACAGTTTTGGTTGTTCTTCCACTTCTGGACTTGAAGTCTTGGTTCCAGTGCTTGAGTTTCATGTGCACATCCATTTTTACAGTCCTGGCTTATTTGTAAGTAGGCTGTTATTCCTTCAGCATTTATTGGCTGCTGCTTGGTTTCACTAGTTCGGTAGTTTGCCCTGGCTTTCTGAACACTACAAAGCCCATACTGTTGTCAGAAACAGTGTGAAGCTATCTGCTACCATTGATTATTTAAAGATCATGGTCATTTCACATCAGGCATGACCATAAGTGCTCCAATCGTCTCCCGAGTCTGTAAGTGTTTTTGTGCTAACAACTCCCATTCTGTTCTGGCTGATGTAACAGCAGGTGGCTTCTACATTGGTTTCTTGTCTTGCTGCTCCTATTGGTACACCTAGGGTGTGCAGTCTGTTCAGTAAAGAATTATTTTCCACCAGGTTTAAAAATCTTAACAATTTTTATGCAAGAAGCTCACATTGAATTCCAGTATTTCAGCATTATGAAACTGCATTCACAACCCTTAGACCACAGACTGCAACAATACTGTTAAAAAAAAAGTAAAGGACCCTTTTTACACCGTTGGTGGATCTGGCATATGATCAAGCTGGCCACCTGTACTTCTTAGGACTTTACCTGGACCCCATTGTAGACTGGGTTGAGTAAGATCAAAGGTTGCGTTTAAAGGGGAAAAAAATCAGATACTTTGCAAATTGAAACCAAAGACCTTCATTTCTGACGTGAACCTCTAGTCGCTACACCTTGATGGTCACTTTCCCCATTCCATGTTTTCCCTTTTATTCACCTCCTCATATTGTCCTTTCCTGAGCATTAAAGTCTCCAAGAATTAAATGAAAATTTTTTTTTAACCTTAAATCTACACTCTTGGGATTTTCCTCTGCTGATACTGTAAACAGGGAACAGTGGGCGGAATGGATAAGAACACTGGGCTCTCATGTGGAAGACAAGGTTTGAATCCTGGGTAAATTTGTTGATTTCTTTTCCTTAGGGGCAAAAATAAAATCCTAACCTGCACAGTTCATGGCACTAGCCATTTTGCCTTAAATCCTCAAAAGTAAAGACCTTGCCCATCCACCTGCACCACAGATGTGGTAACTACTATACAGGCAGTAGTGGCAGTTGCTGTAATCATTAACTCATCGTGGGTTTTTTCATAATATCCTACCACAGATCAGGTCACAGGACAGTCCAACATTTTAGAAGGTGGTAAGACTGGGTTTCCCGGCCTTCTGGTGCTTTCAACGACCCCAAAAAATCTAGAACTGGCCCTAACCCCAACCCACCTACGTCCAACAAGAGAGTGCAGCCTGGATCCCACGACTGCATGCAGCTTATCTACCATGCCCCTGAAAATTAAGATTGTCCCGTGACCTGTGAATTTCCCATGTTTAAGGTAGGATATTAAAAAAGCACTAAATTGTGATTAAAGAGATTATTTTACTAAACTAAGTCTTTTTTGTGTTCAGAAATAGAATGTCTTGGTCAGCCTATATACAGAATCTGGAGGCAGGCAAAGGGCGTTGCAAGTACGCTGGCATCTACGGCAAGAATCCAATCAGTGTGTGGGCGGAGTCAGCGGATAAATCTGCATTTCCCATCACCGCTGATGATGTTGCTACAGCAACCAGGGCAATTACTAATCAGGACATGAGCCTCATGAGCTCTGGTTTGAAGGTAGGTCTCTCTCTCTCTCTCTCTCTCTCTCTCTCTCTCTCTCTCTCTCTCTCTCTCTCTCTCTGTGGGTGGGTGGGTTGGTGGGAGCTGGGGGGTGTATGAGAAGTCAGGAAGAGATGCCAGGTGCGAATCTTGGCACTGAAAGATGTCAATCAAGTTAGAATGTTGACTGGGACAGATGTCAGGTGAGAATGTTGCCTGGGACAGATGTCATGCGAGAATGTTGACAGGAAAGATGTCAGGTGAGAATGTTGACAGGGATGCCATGTAAGAATGTTGACAGGGTTGCTATGTGAAAATGTTGACAGGGATGCCATGTGAGAATGTTGACAGGGGATGGATGGCAGGTGAGAATGTTGACAGGGATGCCATGTGAGAATGTTGACAAGGGATGCCATGTGAGAATGTTGACAAGGGATGCCATGTGAGAATGTTGAAAGGGATGCTATGTGAGAATGTTGACAAGGGATGCTATGTGAGAATGTTGACAGGGATGCTATGTGAGAATGTTGACAAGGGATGCTATGTGAGAATGTTGACAAGGGATGCTATGTGAGAATGTTGACAGGCATGGATGGCAGGTGAGAATGTTGACAGGGATGCTATGTGAGAATGTTGACAAGGGATGGATGGCAGGTGAGAATGTTGACAGGAATGCTATGTGAGAATGTTGACAAGGCATGGATGGCAGGTGAGAATGTTGACAGTGACAGATTTCAGTGAGAATGTTGTTGAGGACAAATGTTTGGTAGATAAAATTAGTCAGTGGGGATGGTTGCTAGTTAATTTTGATATAGGACCAGCAGCGACATAAAGCAGGCAAAATCTCCTGGATTATATAGAGAGAAATAATAAGTTAGGTGCATGTCTTTTTCAGGTTTCTGCAAACTAAACCCAACATATATTGACTGTTGTGTGGTTTTTTTCTATGCAATTTTATATTCAGTGGATTGCTTCTGAATGGTTCAGCAATCACACCTCTTGAAAATCAACCAAATTATTTGTAGCAAATTCCAGTTTGTGTCTATAAAGTAAGTCATAGAATGTTCAGATTGGGGGAGCTGGGTGTAAAATGGGCGGTGAGACATGTTTTCCTAAGATTTAAGAAGCAATAAGATAGTTTAGTACCAATCAAACAGGAGAATGGAGAGCGAGAAGCAAGTATAGAATTTATAGTCTGTTAAAATGACCACTGATTACAGGCATTGTGAGGGTTAATGGTATGAGATGGCTGGGATTTATAGAGAGAATGGCAGATAACAGCTCAAAAACTGTACACACAAAAGAATTGAATGGAAGTAAATCAGGACACAGACGAAGAATACAGTGAAGAGATAATATACAGGCAGGCCTACAAACAATTGGAGTCAGCAAGCGGAAAGTGAAAAACCTTGAGTATGAAAGTACATGAGGCGGGAAAGCTGGTGGGAGATCGAGTTTCTTTCAGGTAGACTGTGATGAGAGCGGTGTTCTGCAAAGGACCTGCTATATGATGATGAATATCTGCAACAGTGAACCTTAAGGGCTCGAAATGGTGAAGAAGAAGAAAGTTTGATAATTAGGAAAAAACACATTAGTGTAAACAAGTAGGAAGGACGATGTAATTATTTTAATTATGAAGAAAAAATCAGTTTATGAACTGATGAGGTACTTTTGTGTTTCCCACCTGTAGATTGGAGGGGTTCTCAGCTTCACCTGTTTGAGAATGGAGCCAGATCTACTCATCTGCCAAGGCAAAGGAGATTACAAAGACTATAGTCTTGTTATAGCACTATCAGGTCAGTTGTTAATCTGTTTTCTAATTTCCTTCCTCTGTTGCTTCATTCTTCCTGGTGGTCCTTCCCTGTTTATTCCTTCCTCATATCAACTTTTTACTTGTGTGTCCATTTATCCTTCACTCATATTTTTTAATTATACCTGTATCTTCCCCAATACATCCCTTTCCTGTGTCTGCATTCAGTTTATTTACTTGTTCATTCATTTTCTTCCAGGTAAGTTATGTTTTTTTTTCTTTGGATCTCTTTTCTTATTTCTTTGTTATTGTTCTTACCTGTGCTTTTCAAGATTTACATTAATTTCATTTCTTTTTCCTCACTCTTGTTTTGTCATTGATTGCCTTAACTTATTGCTTTTCTGATAGCTGTTTTCAGTTTATCTTCATTACCCTTATGCCAAAGTCAACTAGTCACACTCATGAGGGAGAGAGAGAGGGGGGGGGGGGTAGGAAGGGACGGAAAAAAAGAGAGAGAGAGAGAGTATTGACCCACTGTCATAAGAGTCCACTAATAAAGGGTTTCCTTCAAAGTCGGGGTAAATCTCCCTGAGAGGCAAGGAACCAGTAGTCTGCATACAGATAAGCCAGACTTGTAAAATGGATGTGCATGCAAAACCTAAGTTTTGGGCAAGACAGAAGTCTGTAAGTGGACGAGGAACCACAATTTTATGTTGGTGTTTACAACTGGTAAAGGCGAAGAAAAATTAAATTTTTTAAAATGAGTGCCTAATTTCCAAACGTCTATAGAAAGCGCAGCACAGTCTTACATTTGAGTTAATTGGAAGTCTTTTTTTTTTTTTTGAGTGGCTGCTTATTTGTATTTGTAGCTATAATTGTTCTGGGGTACTTTTACTCTGGTTTCAGCCGAGGTAATGGTTGTCTACATCAGATTTGTGTATCGTGTGCTTTTTAGGGGGTGGTGGGTGGGGGATTAGACCCACTGCACCCAGCAAACATACCATACACGGTGACTAATTAGAAATTTATTGAAATTGGATGCGTCGGGCTCAGTAGCAAAGATTAGAGCTTTGTCTACCTATAGCAGGTATCTCAATGGGTCTTTTCTTTTGACACCCACAATGGGACCTCCAAAATCCAGATGGGGAAGCCTGCCTTTTTATGTCCAGTGACACCGCAGTGGACTGGCATCCTTTGAAGGACTGTGTCTCAACCCCCCCCCCCCCCCCCCCCCCGCTACATGGCTGTTTGACCACCTCTGTGAACATCCTAGACCACCAGGCAAGTCCCAGATACCATGTTCAGTATCTTAAGAAGTTATTTTAGGGCGCCCATTTTGAGTGGGGGGGGGGGGGGTAGATCCACTGCTTTCCTAACAAGCATGTTGTGAAAGGTGACTAGCTACAGATTTCTCCTCTGAAGTCGGAACACATCTGTCTAAGTGATGAGGAGCCTACAGTTTGGCATTTGTATGCATGTTGCCAGTAAGCCAGATCTGTATGTCCAAAATTCAAGTTCTGGGTCTACTTCTTTATTCACCAGTTATTTGCTCCGGCCGAATGTCCTGGTTTTTCAACCATTTGGACTTTGTGCCAGGGCTCGAGTTTTGCATGTGCATCCATTTTACTGGCTTATTAGTGTAAAGTTGGTTGTTCCTTGCCGCTCAGGCCGATGCACTTCAACTTTAAAGGAAGCCCCCAGTTAGTCAACTCCCATGACATGCTTGTTGGGGAGGCACTGGTTTTCCCCACATTGGGGTTCTAGAACCCACACAAGGACAGTTCTGGATAAAGACTGAAGTCTAGAAGTTTTAACCGAGTTTACAGCTGCTGAATACTAAGAAGAAGAAGAAGAAGATAAGTACCAAGTGATGTGCCCTGGAGTCCTTTGTGGGATAGGTTTGATTCTGCAGAAGGACTAGATCTGTTCTTTTACTAAATGTCCAGTGGTAAATATTGTTTCACTTGTACTGCAGTGTGAATTTGTCAGTAAATTTAACCACATTGCATTGCAATGTTATCTTTCAGTTCAAGCTGTTATCGTTGGATTTAACCCTGATGCAGAAGTGAAGACAGCCTACGTTCGTGATGCCGTCGAAGTCATCCGTGACCACCTGAAAAATGTTAACTACTGATTGGTTCAGAAATATGAGATGTCTAGAATGCTAGTAACATATTCAACAAGTTTACATATTTTGTCTAGTAGTCGCCAGTCAGAGACCTGGTGACATTTGGGGGGGGGGGGGGGGGGGGGGGGGTAAATATTTCATGGACCTTTGTTATTGTAGGAATTTATTGCAAAGATTTTATTGCTGGAATATTAATATGATTCTGATTTGCCTTTTTATTGTCATATTAGTGAGATTGACACGACTGCCTTGGTACTTCTGGTTTAAAAAAAAGTTTAGGCTTTTCTTTTCTGGGTTACATCGACCCACAAAAATATTTTCCTGTATGTTATTAAAATCTGTAAATGTTTAATTATTATTAGATTGGATAAAGTGTCCTGTGACTTTACAGCAATAAAAATGCACAATCCAAAAAATGACATTTTTATTGCTACTGCTTATGCATTCACTTTTAAGAAGGCGGTTGGCCCAGTATGTTATGGTTTACAGCTAGGCTGCGATGTCTGTCCCTTTTAGACCAGCACATATGATTTTAGCAAACCCTTAAATCGCTTTTTAACGAGCATTAGGTCTGTTATTTTAACCCTTTCCCAAATGGGGTCAGGAGCTAACACAGTAAGATTGTTATTACTCAGAATTACTTTGAACAAATTGAACGTCTTGATTATTCAACAGAAATATTCTTTTAATAATGAACAAACTAAATAAGTCTACATTGTTTTGACACTTTAGTATTGGTTTAACAATAGGAAAATGTGCATTAAGAGGAGCAACAAGAAACATTTGAGAGCCTGGATATTCCAGTCATTTCACTAACTAAGCATTTTCATTTGATGTAATTGCTCAGTCTGTGGCTTCAGTTAGCAGGTTATGAAAGAAGTTACACTGAAGCCCATCTCACTGTCGCTCACTTTGTTGAAAAAAAACTTATGTTCTGAAATTTTTTTCCCTTAGCGCCATTGGCACATTAGGCATAGGATACCAGAATAATATTTGTATAGATCAATCGGCACTTGATGTGTTATGTGGTCAGCATCATGCCAGCTGCCTTTACTTCCAGGGACAATTACCTAGTACCAATTTTATTTTTTTAAGCCAAGGTTAAAAACTGTCAGTTTAAATTTTTAGAATTATATGTGTTTGTTTTAGAATTTGTAAACCTTACTATAACGCCAGGTTATCGTGGAAATGTAATGAATCGACAAATTTTAATACACGGAAGATTTTTAAGTAGCACAATTAAATGTTGCATTAACAATCAAAAAGAGTTATTGGACGCAAGCTTTCTTATATTTTCTTCTATTTGTACGTGAATCTCTTAAGCAATCATTATCTATTACATTTTTATTAATCGAGCTCTTTACATGTTTGCATATTGTTATATGTCATCTATGCTCTTGCATGTTTTATATGTGGTTCTGTTTTCATCTGATGAGATCTGCATGTTTTGAATGTTGTTACGTTTCATGTCGGGCTCTTTCTGCATGTTTTGAATGTAGCTCTATTTTTATCTGTTGGGCTCAACCTGTTTTGAATTTTGTTTCCATATTGGATAGAGGATTGGATGGATGATTTTCTGTAGTCACAGCTTAAATAAGGACTTTGTTTCTGCATATAAGTTTATGTGCCTATCTTATTAATCAGCGTCATGTGGGGTAGGGATTTGAAAAGTCATGTTCTGCTAATTATTGCCTTTATTATACCACTTTTGCGCGGGGTGGGGGGGGGTGTGTGTCTTTGAGCCTGAGGATTCACGACCACATGGTTAGGGCTGTCACCGCCGTGCAGGTGACGATTTTATTTTGCTTGACAGAAAAAAAAAATCCCTAGCTTTACCAAGGATTCAAACCTGGGTCTCCCACTCGATAGCCCAATGTTATAACCACTTGGCCAGCCACTCCTCACAGTCATGTTCAGCAGTTTTATTTATGTTAGGAAGTTCAAGCCACTGAGTGCTCAGTTTTCACAAATCTTCTTGCTGCTGGCCAAATTAAAGCTTTGCTCATGGTCTGTTAAAATTAATTATTTAAAATTTAGCCTCAGTTTTTTTGTTGGTGTTGTTGCAAGTAATACCATCCAGAAGCATTTACATTTTATAGCCTTTGTTCTCCTTGAGATCATTATCTATTTTTTCCTCCTCTGTTGATCAGAGTTGTTTGCTGCATAGGTTTTTCTTTTTTCTGGGCTGAGTCCATTTTATATATCTATTTTTATTCTCTAAAAATAAATATATAATCTCCAAGTCTCATAAAGACACATATCTCTCCTGTCTAGATTGCCCAGTCTTACACATCTTGTTTTTCCTTTCTAGTTTAGCCAGTCTTATTTATACATCTGTCTCTCCTGTCTAGATTATCTGGTCTTATTTATACAACTGTTTTAGTTACAACATGTTTCTCATCTGAATTATTCAGTGTCAGACAACAGTTTCTCCTGTTTATATTATCCAGTCTTAAATATCTGCTTCTCTTAATTAAATTTTTCAGTCTTAAACAACTGTTTCTCCTGTCTAGATTATCCAATCTCAAACAATAGTTTCTCCTGTCTAGATTATCCAGTCGCGAACAACTGTTTCTCCTGTACACACTATCTACCTCTCTAGTATTTTTTTCCTTTTGAAGCTTACAGAAACAACAGCAACTCATTTGTTGACATGCATGTTCCTAAGGATAACTTTTTCATTTACTGACTCATGTCACAGACATCAGTGATAGTAACTCATTTGTCAACATGCATGTTCCTAAGGACAGCTTGTTTATTTACTGATTCATGTAGCTGACAGCAGTGACAGTAACTCATTTAATTCACATGCATGTTCCTAAGGACAACTTGTTTATTTACTGATTACTTTTACCGACAACAGTGCCCTGAGTGTTCTCACATGCCATGTGAATGTATAAATTCTAGCAGTAATCAGGCGTACAAGTGAATGTGTTCAGCTTCTAGCACATATAGTTGTGCTGCCTTTCTTAAATATGTTGCATTAAAAAAAAAAATATTTGATTATGCATGCTTAAACCTCACTGAAAATCCAAAGATGAATAGCTATCTCTACAAACATATCAAAGGCCATGCTTGAAGTTACAGGCTACAGAGTATAGGACAGTTAACTTGAAATAGGTGGATAACGTAGAGAAGCAGGGATATTAACTAAAGTTTCAGGAATTGTGTCTGCAGAAATCAGATGTTAACAGCAAAGGAGCTAAGACATTAGGAATAGTGGTGAACATGGTCTGTTAACATATTATGTTTTCATGTTAGGAACAACACATCTGGTGCTAGGACCTATAGTTCCCCTGTAGTGCCTCATTTCAAGATCTGAACCAGTAGGGGGAGCTAAACGATTCTATCAGTTAAACGGGGAATGGACGAGACAAGACAGTAGGAAGGAAGTTTTTGAGAGAAAAAACAGCAGCACAACATTTTATGAAGAAATTTCCCATATCAGTTGTCGAGTATGTGCGACACAGAGGCTGAAAGTGGGGTGATTTTGTTAGAGCTGGTGGCCTTGTACTGGGGATGAGGTTTCGTGGGTACAGCTGTGTAACTTCGTTCTGGGGGTGGGGTGGTTACGGCTGTGTAACTTTGTACTGGGGATGAGGTTTCGTGGGTACAGCTGTGTAACTTCGTTCTGGGGGTGAGGTGGTTACAGCTGTGTAATTTTGTACCAGGAGTGAGGTTTGGTGGGTCATGAATGCTTGTAAGTGAAAGTGGGCAGCCATAGCTGTGGCACAGAGATGTTTTCTCGGTGCCAGGTGGCTGTAGCTAGGGGAGTCGCAGAGATGAGGTTTTCTGGGTCCCAGGTGTCTGTAGCCAAAAGTGGGGAGTCACAGCTGTTCATGGTACTAGAGATGAGGTCACAGAGATGACATTATTACTATTATGCTTTCTCACTAAAGCATTTTGTAACTGTAAACACGTTTTATACTCTAGCACTTTTCTAACAGTAATGAATGAAGATTGACAGAGAGCTGGCATCATTGATTTTTTGTTGGCTGGTATTAAAGTATCAGTGCCTCCACAAATTTATTGCTAATGTGTTCACTGTAACCGCAGTCTTTTTTCTCCACTGGGCTTTCTTGTAATGCAAAGCAAACGGAGGTTTCTTTTTTTTTTTTGCTAGCATTTTTTTTCAATGTTAACATTTGACTGCCCTTACAAGTGTAGAACTAATCAATAAAAAAAAATCTCATGTTTATTATGTGGACTGTTGTTTATTGTCGGCTAAGTCGATGCGAACGCTTCGTGGTGCCGGGTTCGATCCCAGCTGCGGGCCATACGCTGGTTTCAAAAGTGGTATCGAGAAGCCGACTGTCCAGAAAGCAATGGCAAACTACTGGATGTAAATTTGCCTAGAGAAACCACACAACAGCCTGGGGCTGCTGGGGTTGGTTCCGCAACGTCTTGTAAAGGATACGCAACTAATCTTTTGTTATGTGAGATTGGCTGGATGTGCACCACTGGGTGATTTAATCAAGTAACAGAAAGTGTATTGATCGGCACTGGTAGAAAGAGGGGCGCTTATGTCTTGGATTGGGGGGAGAGGGGCGCTAATGTCTTAGATTGGTGGGAGGGGCGCTAATGTCTTGGATTGGAAATTGATACATGACAAGGCAGATGTGGTCAAGGCCCTTTGGGAAACAAGCAACAAATCAGTAGGGAAAGATTATTATTATGGCATGGAGAGAAAATGGCACCTGGGTGTAAAGAGGGTCTGGCTGGCTCACTACACTCAAAAAGGAAAGGCAAGACAGACATATAACCAGATTGTGACGTACCATCAGTATTGGACCTCTACGCTGGCTGCTGAAGATGTGGACGGAGCATGCATGCATGAAAATGGCCCTGAGTGCTGTGATGTCAATTCTTGACTGAACAATTCAACTTATGTGAGATTATTTCCCTTTTGAAGTTATGATTTCTCTTGACAAATATGTTTTAGTCGCTGGCCATATCAACTTTTGCACATGGAAAATGTGACCACAGTAAGAAGAAAAATGTTGTAC